GCCCCCCCGCCGAGCCACGTTCTGCACGTCACAGGTGTCAGAGACATAACAGGGGTTCTTGCCCCCCAGCTCCAGTGTCACGGGTGTCAGGTGCTTGGCAGCAGCTGTCATTATGATCCTCCCCACAGCAGGGCTGCCTGAGGACCAGGAGAAGATGGATCATGGTGAGGATCCCACCAGCTACAACCCAACCTGTGGTCTTATGGGGAGCCAGGGAATCCCAGAATGGCCTGAATTGGAAAAGCCCTTGAGCTCATCGAGTCCCACCATGAACCCAACACTGACCAGTCCCCGACTAACCCATGCCCCTCAGCACTGTGTCTACACGACTCTTCAATCCGTCCAGGGATGGGGACTCCACCACTGCCCTGGGCAACCCCTTCCAATGTCATGTCAAGCCCCACTCCCGTCCTGCACCCACCTTGGTGTGCAGCACACAGCACCTTCAGCACCCTCCTCCAGCTCCACCACAGCTCAACCCTTACAAAACCCAGTTATGGCCACCAGATCCTCAGCCACGTTGGTGGCAGATCCTCCACCAGATCCTGACACCAGATTCCCCAACACAAGGAGCCTTTTGAGAGGGTCCTGCTTGCAGGCAGGCAGGCTGCCCACCACCTCACGGTGAGGACACCACAGCGGGGTGCCTGGTAGGAACCCCCTCCCACTTTGAACAGAGACCAGGCAGGGCTCTGCTCTGACCCATGGGACCTACCAGTGAAGAAGATGTAGTCAAACTTGTTCTCCAGCAGTCTGGTGGTCTCCTCCACGCCGGCGGTTACCACAGCAAAGCAGTCCTGCAATGGAAGAGGAAGAGTCCCCTGGTGTCACCATCTGCCCAGGCCACTCTGTCCCCGTCCCCATCAACAGCATCCCAGGCTGTTGGGTGTGTGGACACCAGCTGAGGGTGGAGGAAGGAGATATGGCAGCACCTGAAACCAGGGATGGTGTGGTGCTGGTTTGTGCAGTGCCAGGAGGACACATGGCACAGCTCAGTGTGTGCCAGGGGTGGGAACACCCCACCCATGAGAGAGGGAGAACTTCCTACCTTGTCCAGGTAGTTGGGCAGCTCTTCAGCCACGAGTCTCTCGGTGTTCTTGGTTATCTCTGAAGGTTTGATGATGACACAGTTCCCTGGGAGGAGAGGAGATGGAGAGGACATCAGAGCAGTGACATGGTGACAGCCAGCCCTTCTGGCACCCCAGTTTGGGGACAATGTGCCCGGCACTGCCTGGATCCTCCTGGCCAAAGGACATTTGTGGCTCAACAGCAGCGATGGCCCCGATGAGGGGCACCAGGAGGAGGTGGATGGGGTAGTTCCAGGGCGCGATGATGAGCACCACCCCGTACGGGTCCTTGCGGATGAAGGCAGAGTCCAGCCGGGTCACCTGCAGGACACCCACCAGGTCAGGTGTGCAGGACAGGTCCCAACCCACACCACCATCTCCATGCCAGCATCCCACCCAGCTCTGCTCAGGAGATGGGTCCTTCCCCTCCCATTCTCTCCCTCCTTTTCCCCCCTTTACCAGGTTCTTGTCCACCTGCTCGTCCTTCATCCAGCGGGACAGGTTGTTCAGGGTCTCGTGGAGCTCGTTCTTGCAGAGGAGGATCTCAGAGAACTCAGCTTCAAAGCTTGGCTGGGGACACAGAGCACCCTACGTGTCACCTCTGCACGTGCAGCCACACAGCAGCAGCTCTTCTCCTCACCCTGAATACCCCAAATTTGTGGGCTCAAGCCCCTCGTGTCTCATGGTGGAGGTTCACTTTGTTCTCATCCTCAAGGCACAACCCACCATGGGGAGGGGGTGATCCCCACCACATCTGTGGGGTCAGTCAGGGTTTGGTGAGCTCCAAAATCACGTCATGATATCACCAGACCTGTCCTGTTGGCAGTAACCTGTCTGTGACAGGACTTTCCCTGCTGGGACCTCAGGTGAGGTTGAGGAAACTCAAGAGTTTGAGGAGGAGAGGGGTCTGTGAAGGCATTTTGAGGAAGAAAAGGTTGGTCTGGCTATTGAGTCCTGGTTGGTCTGGAGAGAAGTTCATCCTGAGCCACAACCCCTTTTCTATCGTGTGCATTTTCATACCCAACAAAACAAGTTGATGGACTCAAGCAGGATGGACTATTTTCTCATGACCTCCCAGAGGGCAACTCAGTTAAGAGTCTTCAAGGATTGAACCCAATAAATAAAAGCTCAGAAGAGATCTGGGTGCAAATCCCCCACCACCTCCTTCCCCTGGCTTGGACCTTCCCACTGTGGATGTGTCACCAGCAGCACCAGCGCTGAGGTCCGGCTCTGCCAGCAGCTCCTCACCTTCAATCACCAGGAGACCCATCAATGGTTGTCCTACAGTTGGGTTTCTTCTCATCTAAGGGTACAGTGGAAGCTGAAGGTGGACAGGGACCAGTGGGGAAGGGGTTTGAAGGATAAAACCAGCTGGTCCTGGGGGACATCAACCACCCTGGTGTCAAGGTTTGGGAGGAAAGATGGGAGAAAAGGGAATATCCAGATTTTGGAGCCTGTTTGTGCAGAGCTTTTTGTCTGAGAAAGTGAGGAGGAGATCCACCACCAAGCCTGGGAAGGAGGGAGAGCAGGAAGCAAAGGCTTCCAGAGATTGTCCTCAGCAGGGCAGGAGGAGGGATGACCATGTGGAGGGGGATTCCAAAGGGGTGAAGGAGTTTGGGAGCAGTGCAGGTGTGCAGCTTGGCACGACACCGGGAGGAGAAGCAAGGTCAAGGGAGAAGATGGAAGAAGCTCTCCATTGAGAGAGCAAGCAGATGGCATGAGCAGGGTGACACGTTGGATGTCTCTTCCAAGGAAAAGGGAACCTTGGGCAGATGAGGAAGCACAACCAACACTGACAATTGCTATCAGCCCGCTGCGGTGGGCACTGGGGGTGTCTCGGGTGGGCTGGAGCAGCTGGGCTCATGCCAAGGGATGTAGCCCAAGCAGGAGCAGAACCCAGCACGGGGCTTTCCAAGATGAGCCCAGAAAAGACCTCGCCTGGTATCTCACTGTAGAGTGGAAGAAAGAAGAAGCAGAGGCCCAGCAACCAAGGAGGACATGGCAGGAGATGTTCAATGTGTCCCTGAGAAGAGGCTGGATGAACAGCAGGCAGAAGAAGGTTCAAGGCCAGGTTGGATGAGGCTTTGAGCAACCTGGTCTAGTGGAAGGTGCCCCTGCTGCTGGCAGGGGGGTTGGGACTGGATGAGCTTTAAGGTCCCTCCCCACCCAAACCAGTCTGGGGTTCTGTGATTCTATGAATGCTCTGAATCCCTTGTGGGACAGTAAAAATCATTGTCTGGGTGAGGAAGCACCAGTAGATGTTCAGGTATCTCGGTTGGGAGCTGTGGCCCTGGGGCAGCTCCCAGTTTTGTCTGGAAGGGGTTGCCCAGGGCAGTGGTGGAGTCCCCATCCCTGGAGGGATTGAAGAGTCGTGTAGACACAGTGCTGAGGGACATGGGTTAGTCATAGGGGACTGGTCAGTGGTGGGTTCATGGTTGGACTCCCTGAGCTGAAAGGGC